TTATCAATGATTTTAATCCTGTCACCATTCAAAACAATGTCTGCATTGGGAGAAGGGAGTAGTTCTTTATTTTTTTCTCTGAAAAGTATAGGCTTTGTTTTGCGTAAAATTTTAAGCCATTGCTTAATGGCCATGCTGTTGATTTTGTATTGTATCATAACAGATGCCTATGAGGTCATGTACATTGTTACCAGCAAAAAAAAAAGCTCGTGTCATCGTTTGCCCTAAAATTTATACATACAGCATCCTTGTTATATAAAATGAACAACAGTGGACCTATTATGTTCCCCCGTGGAGCTACGCAGAGTACCCTTAGAACCTTTGAACGTGTCTTATCGATTTCGATCATTTGTTGACGGTTGCTTAGGTGGGAGCACAATCCCGTCTGCCACAACAACGAAGCTTGTTCATTACAACGTTCAGATTAAATAAGTCGAATGCTTTGATGTAATCAATGAACGCCCCAGCCGTTATAGTTTCTTTTCGAACTGCGTCAAAAATGTGCTCTTTCTCTTGAAGCAATGCCAGCTCCGTAGATTTGTTTTTACGGAAACAGAATTGGCACTGGGTGAGCAGTATTTCTTTAAAATGAAACATGATTTTCCTATGCTTTAGCTTTCCGAAGACTTCTGAGGAAATCAGCAGAACATAAACAGGTCTGTAATTTCCTAATTTATGATGATCCCATTCTCATACAACGTTACTACTTTGGCAATTTGCCTTTTACTGGGAAACATGAAAGTATCCAAACAAAGATATTATATATGAACAAGAACAGACACCAAGATATCTGCAAGAAATTTCACTGGTCGCATCTGGACGCTGTTTATGTGACAGCTATTGCTAATATTCAAGCTTTTAATTATAGTTACCATCTCAACTAATGCCACAGGGTGCAAGAACAACAGAAAATTCTCATTTTGTTCTAAATGAACAGGTACGTGAGATGATATCTGGTCAAACATTACATTCGTTATAAAATGACAGAATGCGTTAACTAGTTTAGCGCCAGAAAGCTTCTCAGCACTGATTTTCAAATTTGATTCGTCACACTGTGGTTGGTCTGGATTCAGTAAGGTATTAAACCTATTCCAAAACACCTCGCGTCTTCCCATTTCGGTCTCTGAAACAGATGTGCAGTGCCTTTTATTTGCTAAACGAAGCTTCTTAGTTATCGTATTTCTGTATTGCTTAAACACATCCAAATTTCCTGGACGATGAGAAGCGATGAAGGTACTATATAACTGGTGTTTCTTTTTTATGTCTCTGCGTAACTCTGGCGTTATTCATGGTATGCGTATTTTCCCATTTTTCTTACGCACTTTCACAGACGATTTCAATTCATACGTTTCGTTGAATGCATCAATGAGCGATTAATAATACAATCGCTGAACGTTACCGGCTCTGCGAATTACAACCCAGTTATTTCTACTGAGTGCTTCACGAAAGCAGTTGAGGGCGAATTTTGTAAATCGCTGATAAAAGATGATTGTACATGCAGGCATGCACCGTTTGCGTGAGCACAGAAATATGGGAAAATGATCCATAACAACACTAGACAAGACACCCGGCTTCATACGCAATTGTGAGGGGTTTGAAAGGAATAGGTCTAATACAGACTTCGGAATGTTGGTTGATTAATGAAATTGATGAAACCGCTGGAGTGTATAATAGTTGTAAAGTTTGTAGAAGTTCTGGCCATGTTAATATTAAAATGCCCGATACACTCGTACTTTGCGACAAAAATATCTGCTAGAAATTGGTCATACAAGTTGAAAAATTTTGAGTAATTGCTGTTTGGTGGCTGGTAGCAGACGCTAAATAATGTATCACCACGTAGTACAGGAAGTATTTTATAGTCAGGCGTGCGAGCTGAAAAGCGGCCAGATATGTTGCATTTAGTGTGCCGATCTGTTGGTATCGAAACATCACCTCCACGACATTTTGCTCTATTAAAATAATGTGTTTGATATGCCACCAATTTAATTACGTCATATTCGCAAATACTCCATGTTTCTATGATCATGACGCAGACAAATAAAAATTTACCAAAGAATTTGTCGAGGCACATCATTCCCTTTTTAGTGATCTTCTGTTTAAATGATTATGTTTTTAGTACACTGGGGCCTAAATTAGGCACACCTCTGCCGAGCTCATTCGGCAATTAATATTCATTCATGACAATCGTGTAGTGTATGCTTGGTGGAATATATCATGACATGCAGTTTAGGTTAGTGGCACACTGATAAGATCAACTGAAGATTTGACATGCGCAGCGCGTGCTTGTTCGCGTTCTCAGAGAAACACTTTTTCCATGCGCACAACATGCAAACTTAAAGCAGTCTTTTCGTGCCCAATCCTTCGTTACTTTCAAAAGTTGCCTTCATCCTGTCACGTGTCCTGTCACCCCGAGTAAATGCTGCTGTGCCATTTAAAGAAGTGTGTACCTCAGTTCGTTCCAACTGATTCCATCACAGTGTGAAGACGTCACTTCGCTTTCACACGAGTCAGCACACGCACAATCCGAGAAAGCACCTCAAAGCTTCAGCCGTCGCCACTGTCTCTCTCTTCCTTTTAAATGACTCCCTTTTTTTTTGGTCCTGCTTCCCAGTCACTTCAGGATGTGTCTCTTCCAGGAGTTTCACGCCACGTTTACAGACGTGAAATTAATGTTCTTATTTTTTATTTTTTTCTTGTACTTAACCCTTCACATCTTCTCGTCAGGGTAATGACGTCCCTGCGACAGTGGTTGCCACGCTTAAAACAAAAGAAATATGGCGCACCACAAAACCCCCCCAAAATAATATTCCACAGGAAAGCCTTTCATAGAGGCACCTCCGGAAAAACACTACAGAGGAAAACGTGGGGAACGTAATAAAGGATGACAGGTGGCGGCGAAGAAATGAAAGCTTCTTCGATGTTATAGGGAAGGGGTGGGGAGATTATGGGGAGGGTGGGGAACGAAGCTAAGGCAGTAAGGGAGCTTACACACTAATAAGCAAAACAGGATGGGCGAGAGATGGGGAAATGAGGGAAGAATGAGGCCGGTCCAAAGCCTCGGTCCCGTTCATTCCGCAATTACGTGGATGGTTCTGTCTTGGTGAGCTTGGGGCACAGAGCAATAGTTCATCCCCCGCACTACTGGCGCCCGGCGCGTATTGATATTCGGGAAAAGAAAGAAATAGGGAGCGCGCAGGGGTGGTGCCGGGAGAAAAGAGGCTGAATCCAATGCTCTCCAGGGCACGCCGTTCTCCGAACTTGTATGTTCTGTTCTCGTCATCTCTTTGCACGTCGTGCTTACGTGCAGTTTTGGGAACTAGAAAAAGGAAAGATGAGCCGTAAGATGAAGCAAGGGATTCTGGCGATTCATCTCCTTCCTCCTTTTTTTTTTGTCTCTCAGTGCCTCTATAACTCCCCGACGTTTTCCTTTGACGTTCATCGCGTTAACCACAGGCCTTCTGTTCACGTCTGACGTCAAACGTCGACGTTAAAAAGATGGCAGGTAAACGGGGATAATGAAAAGAAAACCGCAGAACACGTCTTTTGGCCCAGGAATGAAGCATCGCTCTAGCGGCGGAATACTGGCAGCGCTGTTTGTCTTTCGTTCCTAGTTTGCGTAGTAGTGGGATGACTAAGCGGAAACGCGATGGGGCCATGTGAGTGGCGAGAAGTAATACATAGCAACCACTTTTACTTCATTTTCGAAGTGCTGGAGGGTGTTTTCGCTTTGCTGCTTCCCAGAGGAGAAAGACAATATTTCTCGGGTTAAGCGGAGAAACAGGCTTCATAGTAACCCGACTCGAACAAACAACATTTAACAAAAAACACATCCTGCCTTGGGTGCCCTCGATTTCGGCATATAAATGATTTCTCGTTTAGCTAGAAGTAGTATGCTGTGCATCTTCTATTGGGAAGAGTGATTGGGTTATTGCTAACAGCCTGCCTGGAAGTTTTCACGCTGCCAGGCGAAGTAATATATTTAGTAACGACGTTATGCAAAAAACTGGGATTCAGTGTAGTGTACATAGACGGGAGCCAGCGGTAGTTTTGTAAGCGCGTGAAAAAGTGCGCGATCAATTTCGATTAGGGTGATGGTAAGGAAAAAAAAGATAGCAGACGTGCATGGAAAGAGCCACAAAGTCACAGAAAAAGCTGGAAGAGGGCCGTTTCTAGAACACGTTGCACGCTCCCTTGGGGCTACTAATTCAAGCGGACACAAAGAACGCTTCGTTGCGTGCACTTCTTCGTCCGGTTGTCTGTGCAGCTTTAAATAACATGAATCCTTCCCCATTATCAATGTTATCATCATCACCGGCATAACAGAGCCCCCCGTTCTCTTCAACATATTACCCTTTCTTTTTTTCGGTGGTTTCTCGTCGTTGTAGTCACCATCGCAATAACTTGTACACGCATTATCATGATAGTCAGGATTATGATCATCATACCAGTTTTATTATAAATGCCTCTTTGTCATCTGCATTGTCATCGTCACCTCCTCGTGGTCACATCCTCATCAAATCATTACCATCATCATCATCCCAATTATAATCGATCGAGCTGCTCCTCCTCATCATCAGTATTATTATGATAGCCCCACTATAGTGTACTAGATTATAGTGCACTCTAAAACAGTCCTCCTTATGTTTCTTATCACAATGGTGGTCGTCATTCTGGCGTAAATGTAGCGTGAAAAATACACGGACAAGAAAGCCTACACCACAAGCGCTTGGAAGTCATCATTATACGTACTACAACAAGTATTTGATCGTCAACAATTGGCATCACAATTATTTATCACTATAAACCTTAATTTTTCTTTATAATCGTAATCATCATCATCATCGTAATCATCATCATCATCATCGTAATCATCATCATCATCATCATCGTCGTCGTCGTCTTCATCATCATCACCATCATCAACATCATCATCATCCTCGTCAATATCACTATCATGCCCTCTTGAACACAGCGTGCGATATAAAGCAAGTCACACTTGCCTGGCCTCCTCAATAGGGTGGTAGATGGTGAGCAATTTGGGGTGCTTGAAGCGATCCAGCTGCCTTACACTGAAGCGCAGAATCTCGGTGACGGTCTCCTTGCGTTTGGGTTTGTGCAGCTTTTCGGCGACGCGTTTCTCGAACACAAACACCGAAGCCTCCTGTAAGGAGACGCGAACAGAATTCATCCAATGAGTCACGCGTGTCGTGGGAATACCTACCACATACCAACGTTACTCGTGCATTCACTCCGTTCTGATTAGCTATGTTTTCCTAACATTCGCATCGTGACGTTTATCCTTTTCCGTTTCGTAGACTTCACCGTAGTACACTGAAGAATTATGCAGTGTGCTGAAGTTTAACTGCACCGCAGTACACTTTGTAAAAAAAAAAATACTGTGATGAAGTTTTACTTCACCGCAGTACACCTAATACACTAAACAGTAAAGTGAAGCTGAATTTGAGGCAAAAGCAGCAATTAGTTTTCTGGCATGATTTGATTGCGCTACGGTACGCTCACACCAATACTCACAAAATTCCTGACACGCTAGCGCGTTTACACGGTGGTACCTAGAGAGTAAAACTTTATTGAAGGGGAAAGGGAGAGGGGCGTTTTAGAGCCTTTATGGTTGGGGCCCTACGTCCAGGGCTCCACTGGCCTTAGCCGCCCGCCGGACTTGATCCAGTAGTGCGAGCTGCACTCCTGGGTCCGAGCTAGCGAGGTGTGCCTCCCACTGCTCCATACTAGGTGTTAGAGGTTCGCCGAGAAAATTGGTTATGTCGCTTGGTTTACGATCGCACCCCCACGATATGTGGTAGAGAGTCGGTCTTCCGCCGCACCACGGACATACAGCCGGGTAAAGAGTTGGATGTATCGCGTGTAACTTCAGTAGGTGCGGAAATACATCCGTTTGAATTTTTCTAAGGTCAGTGGCCTCTTCCCCATTAAGGGATCTGTGAGGTGTTCCACATTTTTGACGCGTGAAGCGCTGGTGAGCTAGAATCTCCCTAGGTAAAATTGGCATGGTCAATGAAAGAGATGGATTCTCCGCTCGGTTACAAAACGCACGAGCTAGAGCGTCCGCCCTTTCATTGCCTTCGAGACCTGCGTGTCCCGGGCACCAGATCAAGCGATGGTGGTGAGTGAGTTTGGATCCTAGCAGCCTCAGCCCCATTGCTGGAAGGCGGCCCCTTAAAAAGAGCCGGCAGGCTTCCTGGGAGTCGGATAAATAACTGATGGCTCCCCTCTACGCTCCTGAAACCTTAAGGCTAAGGCTATGGCCATCGTCTCCGCCTTTGTAGCCGAGGTCGTGCGTACGGAGGCACTCGTTAGCAGCGTCATGTTGTTATCGACAACAGTAATTATGTGTCTCTGCCAATCGAAACTGGCCGCATCGACGTACGCGACATTGGAAGCTGAGCCGAATTGCTTTCGAAGCCAGTTTACCCTCGCAGTACGTCGCTCAGCGTGAAAGTCGTGATGCATATTTTTGGGCACCGGTGCGATTGAGATTCGCCTGCGAACCTCTTGGGCTACGTCGACCAGCTCCTCATCAATGTGCTGTGGGTGGGGCGAAATTCCTATTCTAGTGAGTATCGCCCTGCCTGCTGAAGTTTCACTTAGACGATTCCTCTGAGACATGAGGACTGCGGCACTGAGCTCAGCATAAGTGTTATGTATACCGAGAGCTAGGAGCCGCTCGGTCGGTGTGCTGGTGGGTAGACCAAGTGCTGCCTTAAAAGCGCTTCTAATGAGCACATCCACCTGGCTCTCCTCACTTCTGTCGAGTGAGTGGTACGGTAGGCCATACGTCACTCTGCTCAAACTAAGGCCTGGACAAGCCGGAGAGTATCCTTTTCTTTCATGCCTTTTTTATGATAAGTGATGCGACGGATCATTCTAGCTATCTGTTTAACCGTAGTCTTTAAGGTGGTTATCGTGTGACTGGCTTTGCCATTGCTTTGGACCCAGAAGCCAAGTATACGGGCCTGAGTAACCTCGGCTATGGCATGGCCGTCTACCTGTAAGTTTATGTCACCGTTACTTTTGTAATACTTACTGTGTATTCTTATGAGTTCAGATTTTTCAGGCGCACAGCTCAGCCCACTATTTCTTGCGAACTCTGCCACAGCTGTCGCAGCAGCCTGGAGGGTCTGCTCTTTCAGCGCCAGGTGAACCCTTCGTAGCCCAGAGTGTGATGTCGTCCGCATACAATGTATATCCAAGGTGCGGGATTGCTTCGAGCTCGTGAGCAAGTCTGCGCATAGCTATGTTAAAGAGCAAGGGGGAGATGACTGCCCCTTGCGGTGTGCCTTTATTTGGCATCGAGAACGGCACCGACCTCGTGTCGCCTATCCCAATAGTTGCCGTCCGCCCAGAGAGGAAGGATTTAATGTAGTTAAATGTACGCTTTCCGCAGCCGATTGTGTTGAGTTCAGAGAGAATGGCCTCGTGCGAAACATTATCAAAGGCCCCTTTGAGGTCGAGGGCCAAAACCAAATGTTCGCCTCCCCTGGGTACGCAACTCATGACCTCTTCTTTTAAAAGGAGGAAGGCATCCTGGGTTGAGAGTCCGGAGCGAAAACCAATCATGGTAGCGGGAAACAGATTTTCTTTTTCAATGTAATTTTGAAGCCGTGTCTGTACTACTCGCTCGTAGAGCTTGCCCATGCACGAAGTAAGCGAAATGGGCCGCAGGGCTCCGAGCGATGGTGCTTTACCGGGCTTTGGTATAGTTATTATTTTGGCTTCCTTCCACTCCGGAGGAACGTGACCTTGGGACCAGCAGTGGTCGTTAAGAAATTGCGTTATCTGCTCAAGAACCTCAGTGCTGAGGTTTCTTATCATAGCGTTTGTTATACCATCCGACCCCGGCGCAGAGTTCCGATTGGCTGCCTGGGCTGCCGCGAAAACCTCTTCTTTCGTGATTGCGGCGTCTAATGTGGCATTCTCGCTGCCGATGTACTCTAATGTACATGGCGGAACCACATCAGTACCGATATAACGGTCTTTAAGCGCCTGGATCAACTCTCCGTCGGTGCCGGGGTAGCTGTGTACTATTCTTTGAAGAATGCGGTTCATGGAGGACTTAGATTTGTCCGGCTCCAGCATGGACCTCAGTATCGCCCACGTCTGGCTAGTCCCTAGTGTACCGCGGAGAGAACCGCAAAACTGCACCCAACCATCGGTGGCAAGTTTCGTTGCGTATTCATTCGCTTCCTCCGACAGAGCAGCGATTCGCCTGTAGAGGCAGCGGTTGAGGCGTTGTTTTTTTTTCCATCTCTTGATCAGGCGTCGCCTACTATCCCACATGTGCAATAGGTGCCGGTCTATCGCAGGCGCCTCAACTGTGCGCGCTATTTTCTTAGAGGTGGCATCATGCGTTTCTCGAATGAAAGCAACCCACCCACTGACATCACAGGGCGTTTGCTCCGGCAGAGGGCGCTTTCGAAAGGTCACCCAGTCTGTCATCACAACGTCCCCCAGCGACACGACGAACTTTTGGTGATGCTATAGAGGTGCTAAGAATATAATGGTCACTACCAAGGTTTTCATCGAGGTTTGACCACGTGGCATTTTTAATGTTGAAGGTGAAGGTCAAATCAGGGTACGTGTCCCTGCTAATGCTATTACCAAGCCTGGTGGGTGCTGTTGGCAGAGTGATAAGGGTAAAACCTAATTTAGACGTGGTGTTCTCTAATAACACTCCTTGGGTGAATCCCGGACGTAGCCCCAAGCGGTGCTCGGAGCATTAAAGTCGCCCACCACCACTAATTGATCTCTGGTGCCAACGGCTCGAACTGCCTCGTTTAGGAGTGGGCCGAAGTCGTCATTCCGGTTTTTGGGAGGACTGTATATGTTTAAAATTTTCGTTCGTACTTTTCCTCGTTTTTGTGGGAAGACATCGATAATTTGGTGATTAATGTTAGTCTGTTCGTAATGGTCTAGCGCAACTGTCATGAAGTTACTCACCAGCGCTGCAACGCGGGGGTATTTTGGATCGTATAATGTGTAATATCCCTGCAATTTGACGGGACGGTTCCCAACTTCTTGCAGGCATATTACATCAGGTGGGATTAGTGCCGAATGGATGTAATTCTGCAATGCCGCCGCTCGTTTGTGGAACGTGCGACAATTCCACTGCCAGATTTCTAGGTGGTCGGAGTTTTGCGTGGAATTAGTTCGCGCCATGGTGACTACTGCCTTTATTGGGGGGTGTCTGCTTTCTCCGTGATTCGACGGTCCTTCGGTAGTGGACTGCTCGCGGAGGTAACACTGACCCGCTTGTTGATGGCACGCTGAATGCCTACAACTGAGTCATTAACGTATCGTCTTTGTTGTTCCGTTTCTGCTGCAAACTCTTTCCTGTACTCCGAAAACATTTGATGCATTTGCTGCATCATCTGCTCTCGGAGTTCAGACGCTGCTCGTTGCTGTTGTGATTGGAGTTCTCGCATTAAGTTTCGCAAGCTCTGCAACTGTTCCCCCATCTGTAACTGGCTAACGTGGGCCTCCTCGCTAAACCTCTGAGGTATGTCTACTTTCGCCGTTCCTCCCTCCAAAGAGTGGGCTACGGTTGCCCTGGAGATAGCATGAGTGGCGTTGTTGTTCGCCTCTAAGGCGTTAAGCCTGGCTTCAAGTTTGGTTTCTAAAGATGATATGATTTTGTGGAACTCCCGGCGTTCCTCCTTAATCTGGCATCGAAGTTTCTCGTTTTCTAAAGCAAGCTGCTTATTCTCGGCAACCATTTTCTGATATTCGGGATTCTCAGTTAAGGGAGCAGATGGAGACACAATCCTCGTCCAGCTCACCGTGTTTGCTGGCTGGCAGGCGGCTGCCTCCGTCCCCTCTTTGGGCGGCGTCAAGATTTGTACCAGCGCTTTCTTCTTCTGCTGCTGATGCTGCTGCTGTTGCTGCTGCTGCTGTTGCTGTTGCTGTTGCTGCTGTTGCTGCTGCTGCTGCTGTTGTTGTTGCTGCTGCTGTTGCTGCTGTTGGTGCTGCTGCTGATGCGGCTGTTTGTTGAGTCGTTTTCTGGACGCAGACTGGGCTCGACCCTTTGAGGAAGCCCGTGACTTGGATCTTGAACGTGAGCGTGATTCCACTGACGAGTCCCGCTCGGAGCTGAACCAGCGTGGATGGTGCCTCCGTTTTGGCTGATCC